AAAGGACTTATTTATGTGTTGCTTTTCATGTAAAGCACAAAAAATTACTACTTCTCGCGTTTTTAACCTGATTTCTGATTCTTTGGAAAATCGAAGATGGTGGCCAAGATGGCGACCATTGTTGGTGACGTCACAGGCCTCCAGCAGCAAGAAAATCAAAGGTTTTCCACCTAAGGTAAAATCGTTTCGAAATACTGCAAAAAATCAAAAACCCCGAGGAGGGGTTCCATCCCCCCCCCCCCCCCCAATTCCTTTTACCACGGTGGAGGTATGAATTTGCGTGTCCGTTCAAGGGTTAACTTAATTTAGGTCGACCCAAATAAGAGTTTGGTTCGTCTCATGAAAAGGTAGACGTTTGGCCTAGGCCTAACACGGTGGTAAGATTAGAAAATGATTTTAATAGACTAAATTGTAACTACAAATAAAAAATTACCTTAATGGTCTTCAACGTTTTGACACTCCGCGGAAGTTGAGCCCGAAATTCCTCTGAAGTCTTTCCACAAAAAAGAATTTCCGCTATTTTCCTTCTCACAAAAAAGAGCCACACAACTAATTATGTCGTTTCCTTCGTTGTCGACAGCGAAAGTTGACTTCGCCGTCAGAACTGGGCTTTAAGTTAAGGACTCAAGTAACATGGGGGTTTACCTGTGGAAATTGAATTATTGCCTACAACTTTGGCATAGATGATGGCGCTGAATCAAAATTTGGCACGCATAAAGACCTTATCGTCCTTAACATTTTAAAGTATAAATATTGTGTTAATTAGTCACGTGATGTGTCACAAGAAATCGATCGATAGCATTTTTCTAATTCATATTAAGTATTATTTCTAACACTTCACGCTTGGAATGACCGTTCATTGCACTTCAATAGAAAATTATGACGGAAAACATCACTTCAGATGCCCAAATTTAATCTTGAATTATTTAAAACTGTATTTTAAACTTCGCGTACATTCACTTTGGGAAAAATTCACTTTGTTCTAGGTCTCCTAACGAGAGAAATTGCCAGTCAGTCTTATGCTAAATCACGAGTCCCGTCTATAAATGCAATCCCGAATCCCGCTCCCATATTTGTCTAGAATCGGAAATACCGGGTTCTAAGAAGGCAAATCCCGGATCCCGAAAAGCCTAGGGGACTGAGAAGCGACAGTATAATTTTCTCAGCATTACTGTGGGGGCCTCTGTAGCGTGTCTGAAGTCTAACTAAATTAACGAAGATTGGTGCACCGGTCGGGAGTAATCACGACAAGTTGGAATGTTTTCCCCTATTGGCTTGTAACATTTCGAGATGTCGACCCATGGTCATCAAAGGGCTAAATGGGGCATATTTTTTTGTCTTAAAAGCAAACTAGATAACGCCCGTCGATCAAGAGAACTAAATATACAGAATGCCTAGCAAGCAGGCGGATCTCGGGTGCTGAATGTGACATGGAACAACGACACAGTGAGTCGCTTTCCATTCCTCTTCCTCCCCGATAGCTGCCAATGTTCCAAGTGGTATCGCACAGAATAATTTAAATGTATTGTTTATTCACTTACTTACCAGAAATATGCCTTTTTATGTCCTTGTTTTTACTTTACGCTCCAAAGTAGACTTAATTTGGACACGGTCTATTCGAATCGTTATAGCTCAATCCGTACAATTTAGTGAAATTGCCAAAAAACTGAACATATATTCATGCCAATATTTTTCTCATTGAAAGGAAGCACTGTTCGTATCAAAATCATGAAATAAAAAATTAGGGGCACCGTACTCGTTTTTGCAGTAGAGTTGCAGAAAGTGCGCACCGCATTCATTTTTTCCTATTATTGAGAGAGGACTGCATGTGGCGAGTTTCAAAATGGCATGTATGTGGAAGGGGGAAGAAGGCATTAAATAATCCGTTTTTTCAGAATTTGGATCGAGAGACACAGTTAGGACGCAATGTGATAAAGATGGCGCTTAAATGAAAATCAAAGTGAGATAGTACACGTTTAACTAACGTCCACTATGAAATTGAGGTTCTCCGTAAGAAAGTCGAACTCAGTTACATGCGTACTGCTTACGTTATGCACATTCCCAGCACATTGAGTCTCATATCGGCAAGAATCAACAGTAACCGAAAATTCTAATAGCGTTTCTCTTCAGTCAACTTCTTTTTAATAATGTTACTTTGAATGCTCTTTTTCACGGCGGCCATCTTGTTACGCGCAGTATAAGAGATGCGCAGTGTAAAACCAGCGAATCACCTTAAAACATGAATATTCCTTTTTCTATAAGTCATTTACGCTGAATAACTTCGCCTTCATTCACACGAAATAAAAACGCGCTACCGGTACGAACAACAAACATCACAGGGTTATTTTTCGTTCTAAAAGTTATTCACGAAAAACAATTTTGCTTTTACACTAAGGAGCAATATGCAAAAATTATAAAGCGAGGTAAAAATATGTCTTGCTGCATGGTGCGCGCAACAAACAACGAGGCCACTATCATACTAAAATTATTCTTGATTTTTAATCGCAGTGGGTGCTTTGAAGCCGGCATACAAAGTTAAATGCCAACAACCTGGCGTACAGGTATACCTCACTCTTCCTTCCGCCACACACCGACTTGACTTACCGTGATTACGTAACAGGGGTAAGTTAAACATACGAAGGGTGCATTCGATAGATTGTATTCCGGGCTAAGAATACACCGACATTTGAGAGAATGTCTTCAACCGCAGAGTTTTGGAACAATGGGACACTACATTCTGCATTTTATCATGGAATGAAAGCCAAAACAAGTGATTTCTTGAGCCTATTCCATGCATCCTACTCCAGGATACGGGTAATCAAACACGCCCTACGGAAAATGCTTAAGCCCCTCTCTCCTCCAGAAACTCCCGCTGGGTATCCCAATAAAAATGGCAGTAATTAAAAAATAGTAAGCGAGCGGGGAACGATGGGACGAGGGAAAAGCCTTTCCCCTTCCCATCGTCCCCCACGCTCTTACTATTTTTTTCCACTCTCCAGCCTCCCTACGACACAAAGAGGCCTCTGCGAAGGAGGGAGACTAAGCCCTGCTTCAAATGTGACGAACAGTAGGGAGAATATATCACAAATATGCTCTCGTAATCTTATTTCAAGAGTATCGCAAGAATTCATGCTTCGAGCTCCCATTAGCTTCGCGCGCTGGCCGTCTCAGATGAGCGCGTTGGAAAAAAGGAAAGTCTTTGAACAATCTCAACCTGGGTTGGCGATTATTTCCGTACGGTGTTTAAAATATAAAAGCTTCAAATGTTCTATATTCTATATTTTCTAGAGACACTGTATATAGCAGGTTTGCAATGTACAAGATTTTCAACAGACACGCTAAAACTGAGCTACTCATGCATGCCTAACATGAAATCTGTCATCTCGTCACACAGCAAGTACGTTCTTTCAAATTTCAACTCACCAACGCAACAACCTGACACCTACAATTTCAGAAAGACACCAGATTGTCCACTCGAAGGAAAATGCCTCCAATGAAATTTAATCTACCAAGCCACTGTAACCACAGAGACGACAACTGAAACTTACGTCGGACTGGCAACAAACTTTAAGGAACGTTACTATATTTACAAGACTCTAAGAAACCTTTCCAGATAAAATGGAAAGTTTTAAAGAAATGTAAAGCCTATAGCAACATTAGCAAAAAATGTAATCTTTGTCTTTATGAAAAGTTCATCATCATTTGTAAAAAAGAGCTTTGTAGCCTAAACAGGCGAAACGCACTAGCGAGTTCATGCCCCCACAGAAACAGATATGTACTTCAGAACTCTAGAGTAACGTAACTAAGACACTATCCATCTGTTACCTAGATACAATCTGATAACGCATCCCTGTAACAACCACCCAAATTTTACTGCCAGCTTTTAATTTTATCGGTCAATCGTTGAAATTGCCTGATGAGTGTGGTCCTACAATTTCGGACCGTACGAAACAGCACTGTCGCAATAAACGATCAATGATTACTCCTGAAGCCTGAACACCTGTGATTATTAATAGTTGTGAATTTGTACTGTATTTTCAAGGACCGAACTCAATTTTTTATTTTATTTTTCTGTAGTCAACAACTATATCTCTCCTTTAAATTTGCCTTATTAAAACCTACTTAGTTTAAATTGCCAGATAGTTTCCCACAATAAAAAACCTATTTTGCCAGACTTTTAAAATGCATGCAGTCTAAAACGCGGGCGTTTACTATCCCTCTTCGGATAACTTACCAGGGGCCATTTTGTTCTCTCAACAAATCGGAGCATTTCCAATCTTATTCCACAACAAATCAATCAGACAAAAGTATACTTCGCTCACGATTATCAAGTGAGCTTTATCTTTTGACCCCTGGAATCAACAATGCAGACATTAGAAAGACGTTGTTAGCTTTGTCTGTGGACAAAATCCTGTTGTGTGACAAGTAAAACGAAAGCACTTTAGTAGTGCTGTAGTGCACTCAGATTGTGAAATTCTTTTTCGGTATATTGCTTACGTAAATTACGGAGTTATTAAACAACAATTGTAACCTACTCATTATAGTAGCGCTGAAAAATATAAGATGGCAAGAAAGATTTAACGAAACATAAAACCCGACTTATCAAGCAATTTTCGGAAACTATTAACAACTACTTTTAGGGACGAAATGGACCAAACTCCAGCAGTTTAAATACCCAATTTATTGCTTCCTTGGTGGTATATTTTTTACATATTTATTATACAGCAAATAATTCTCCTTTTAGCTTCATCCTTTAAATACTAGGTGTACAACAATATCCAATAATATCTTCTATTCTATTCTATTACAATTTTGTAGTGACGATTTTCTGACTTGATTTAGAAGTACATACCGGCTTGCAATTGCATCGAATCGCACTATGCAAGGGAATCCAGCAAATATTTGCCTGTGGAATCCGGAATTGGAAAATGTTCACTAGTGGAATACAGCCCACTAACGTTTGGAATCCCGAATCCAAGTTCCACTGAAAAAGACTGGAATCCAGCACCTGGAATCGGGAATCCACGGCGTGGGATCCAGAATCCAAGGCCCCTGGATTAACTGACATGTGGCTAATCGAACAGATAAGCAGAGAGAAAAAAATATCATTCAGTAATTGACACCGTTAGTCGATCATTGTGTATAACAAAACGTGACAAAATAATCGACATTTTAGGAGTATTTCAGAAGACAAGTGCAGGAGTTAGGCTTAAAAGCGTTTGATGCGAGAGCGACTGTGTTACCTATTTTGCACGGTCGACAATTAATGCCCATGCTGCAGAACGTAAAGAGATAACTGACAGAGTCACTCGATAATGGCTCATTAAAGAAATCGCTACTTTGTTTCAGTAGTTGGCTAACTTAAAAATAAATAACCCAATAACATGTCACAAACTAGAACCATCCCATGTAGTTGCTATGCCACATAGTTATTGAAAAAAAAACTGATTAACATTAACAGCTACCTGAAGTACAAAATCTAGAAAAATCTAACTAAGCAACTTAAGTACGTCAGAGTGAATTGCATACCAAACCTTCAGATAGGTTCTGATTTAATATTATAGAGACCTTAGATTTGAGGAAGAGAACGACTACGAGTACGAAATTTGATTTACAGTTTTTTCGCGTATTTTTAAAAAATAAACACCCTGGAATGCTTCAATGTACTCATTTTCACATGAAACGTTGGCACAAACGTTACCTTTATTGGAGGAGGTTAATCCCTCCACCGTTTGCAAAACGATCAAACTTCGTACATTTGATAACTTGTTTCCGCCACTACGACATTCTCGGTAAAACTCGTAGTAGAATGACGACGGCTATCACGTTTTCCCGCCAAAACGACGCTGGTTCACTCGCGAGCACAACGTAGCATTGGGAAAAACTTGTAGTCGTTCTCGTCTTAGAAGCTCTCTAAATGTCAGACGAAGGGGGTACAAAAAAAAGTCGCAGTTCATAACTTGGGGCTGGTTAAGAACAATCAAATTTTGTGACGTATGAATGTGCCCAAAAGGAGTTTTCGAATTATCAAGGCATATACTTGGGACCGAGGCTGAGGGGAATAAAACATAAGAAATCGCATTCAGTTTCAGTGATTGTTAATTCATTACTTTTGCTTAATTTCCGTCATCCTTGGAGCCAAGTATGAATTTTGATCCACGGTTTTTTTCCAACTTTTGAAAAAGAGAAGCGAATAACCATCGACACGGCTAGAAAGAATGCCCTGGAATAACGTAACTGGCGAAAGGAGACGTTTGTATGGTGGTAGGCACGAACTTGCTCCTCGTCAGAAAACGTTTGTAAAATTGCGCGATTTAATTTGCAGAGCTATATCCTCGTTAGTTTTCAACATATCACTTTCAAACTTGGCAACTTTACTTATTTCGAAGCGTTCTTTTTAGCCGTGTTGAGGGATTTTCGCCAACTGGTCCCAGTATGGGACCAGTTTGCGAAAATTTGACGGTCAAACGTTGAAAAAACCGTGGAAGGGTCTATTCGAAACTGGCCTATTCTTAGTTTGCAATCAAGTAACAGGGCGGTCATGTTGGTTGACAAAACAAAACAAAAATACTTTTGTTCCCGGCGGTAGAAAAACGCTCTCTTTCTTATCAACGAAAATGGTCCCGTGACGTCAACTAACGTATATGATATGCTCGCCCAAGTTTGACCAGACTCACAAATTTAAACTCTTTTAAACCAGAACTAACTTTAACCAACAGCTTATGGTTGGTTTCGCAGGCGAGGCAAGATTAATCGAATCCAGTGTGCTAGCAGCTGGCTATTCCCTGGCAAGAACGGTCGATATTATCAACTGGGGAACTCCGCTTTCTCCCACATGAAAAGACATTGTTTTGACATATGATGAATCCTTTCACGACCAAACTTGTAAGGCCAAGATGCCCAATGCTGGGCCTCGTTCTTTTAGTGAGTTTAAATATCCATTCATCTTAACCTCACGTTTTGTCCATAACGCATGTATCCAACATCGCTCAAGAAGCGGTCTGGACAAATCCACCATAATGTTGCATCCAACAATTTTGGATGCAGTTGGAACAACATGGTAGGTTCCCTTAGAACGGCTCCTAACTAGTATAACTACTATTCTGAAATGAAAATATTAATAAGATAAATTGTATAATGATTATTTAACCCTCCAAACATCTTGATCAACACCTTTGTTTTCGAAAAATCACCGTTTTTACAACTACTAAGCACGTGAAACAATGGCTTTTGATGTCTTGTATTGAGTAGAAGATCAACTTGAACATGACAAACAGCTTCATTGTGCACAGGGCAGCTTACATAGGTAGGTACGGACCAAAATTGTCAGTCCCTCAGCAGTTCTTCAAGACTCAATACGAAAGTATACTAGCAGACCTTAAAAGTGTTTGGAGGGGGTGTCAGAAAATCATCATTTACTTTGAGCAAAGTGTAATTTGGTACCCAAATATTTCTGATAGCACTACACCATCATTTAACCCCTCAATCCCAGACAACAAC